TCTGTGGGTCTCAGGTGCTACAGCGTGGCCGGCCCATCGGCCCAGGACCCGAAACCACTGGGTGGGTTAGGCCATTCTGCGCCCGCCAGGCCCAGCCTCGGCCTGCGGAGCAGCTCTGGGTCAGCAGGGCGTGAGACCCTGGAGTGGGACGGGGGGTGGGGGGCAATCGAGAGCAAGGCCACGGCTGAGCAGGTCTTGTCTTGAGGCTCAAGGGGGACACACTCTGGTTTATCATCAAATTTGAATATTTTAGTAAAACTAAACAGCCTGCAAAATGTCCCTCCCGGTTATTAGAGAGAGCCAGGGCCAGGGGGCGGGGCCAGGTCTGAGGCAGTGGAGGGGTGGAGAGGGACTGTCGAGACGAGGAGTGGCCCAGTGGGGCCAGCCTGCCCCCACGTGTGCCTTCACACCACTGCTGGACAGATGGAAAGCCCCAGGGGTGTCCACTCAGCCGACAAAAGTGCCCCCATTCCTCGCCCACCGTGGGCAGCAAGACCCCTCAGCCAACTGCTGCCTGTTTCTCACTACCATCGGGTCCGTTCCGCCCCGGCCACCCTCTAGGACAGGGCAGAACGGCCCTGCAGGCTTCCCAGGCCAGAAGCCTCCGCATTCTCCCACGGAGCAGCCCAGCCGGTGGGTTTAAGCAGCCGGCACTGCAGTGATCAGCGCAGAGCCCGCAGAGCCTGCCAGCCCACCTCCTCCCCACCACAAGCCCACACCCACAGCACCACCATGCACCGCAGATGCGGACCTGCCCTCAGGTGGGGCCGGCTGGCACAAAGCCGAGCCCCATGGTGGCCTGCCTCATCACGGGTCCACAGGGTGCCTGGATTCCTTCATCATATTTGGGGTGGGGTGGGGTGCTGAGCATTTCCTTGTGGCCATGAAACCATCCCTCACTCAAAGGTGCCTGTGGGGAGAAAAGGAGTCCAACTTCCCCCGGCCCCCGACTGGACTGGGCAAAGGAAAACAAAGGGGCTACAGGAGGCCAGTGCCCCGTTTTCATGGGCAACGAGGCCAGGGCTCCCTGTACTTGGGGTTGGATAAGGGACGTAGCCCCAGGGTCAAGGGACAGGGTGCTCTCTCAGGAACAGGCCCTATGTTGATTCCTCAGTCCCCCTTAGACCATGGAATAGCTTTTAGTCCAAAGAGGAGAGCGTGAAGCCCAGCACCCCGATGCAAACAAAATGAAGCAAAATGAATGTTCTCCATTGTATGTCCGGTCCCATTAGAGACACACAGATACACGCATGCACACACACACACATATATGCAGCTGATACGTCTACAGCGCAATCTCCAGGGAGTGGAAATGAGCTGTGTTTTGGTGTGTGTGCGTGTTTTAATAAAAAGTTTAAATTATATATAGCTCTCAGGAGCCCTCTAACCAACAGATGCTGATTATCAAAAGAAGCTATTTCTTGGCCCTTTTTTCCTCCCTTTTTCTGAGTGAATGGACTTCAGCTCCCCATGGTGCCGCTGAGCCGAGAGACTTGCGTCTCAGCCTGCCGGTGACATGAGCAGCAGACACTGGCCGGCCTGCAGTCCCCTCCCGGGAGCCGGTGACTCAGCCGTGGGCCTTGGCTCTCTGACGCACACTGTGGATCTCATTAGGGCTGGGGCCCGGCTGCCTTGTTCATGTGTGTGTCACAGGCTGGAGCCAGGGGGACGTACTCCCACTCACAGGGAGCTGAGCTTGGGGGCAACGCGTGACCTCCTATTCCTGTTCTGAGGGGGGGGGTGGGACCTTCAAGTGACAGAGAGTCTGTTCCTTCTCACACACGTCAGGCGGACCCCGTCAGATGGATGTGAGGACAGTGTAAATAACCTGTCTGTTCCCAAGGAGGAAATTTAGAAGTGTCTGGTCAGACCCTCGAACTGCCCCTCTCCAGCCGTCTGTCCACCCAGCCCCAGCCCCAGCCACCTTGTTTTTCTCAAATCCCAACCCAACGGGGTCTCTCTTGGCCCTTCTCTCTGCCTGAAACATTCTGTGCCCCTGGCCATCCTTTCCCCGAGCCTCACCGCAGACACCACCCCACGGGAAGGCAGCCTGACCCCACGCTGCCTCCCCCACCTCACTGCCCCTTTCCCTCTTTGCCGCAGAGGCCGCCAGTGTCCAGAAACACCAGGGGGCCCGCTTCCTTGCTTGCTGTCCAGCGCTGCCGTCTAGAGGAGGCAGGGCCCCTCTGTCTGTCTGCCTGTCTTGTTCACCGCTGTCCCACCCTCTGAGCAGTTGGAATAGCAGCCCCAGGCATAAAGCTGGAGCTCAATAAGTGCTGGTCCAGTGAATGAATTCTCTCCGTTCTGGGGAAAGGGTGCTACGTTCCAGCACGGAGAGGATGCCCACAGCATGGAGACGGGGGCTTGGAAGTTGAATGCTGCTCCTTCTTTGTTACTAAAAGGGGCAGCCGGAACCCAGGACTGGGAACTTGAGGACAGCAAGGGACAACTGGGGCTACTGCTGTTGTCCAAGAGCACGGCCCGTGGGCGTCTGAGGGTGCCTCCTGAGCTCACCGGGTGTCAGCTTCCATTCTTCCCAGTGACTAGTTTCCTGCCCCGCACCAGGAAGGACCCCAGCGAGTGAGCACCTCCCAGAATCCGTGTCCTCTGGAGGAATGGTTTGGCACCATCAACACCTGGCGAGGATGGGTCTTCTCCCAAAGGGTGGTCAGTCACTTTTACTACTTTCCTTAATCTCTCTGCGGGCAAAGGCTTTGGCACTTTGAGGTTGGCGTGACCTCTATTAGAATCACCCGTGTCATTCCACGAGCCTCCCCTCGCCCACTTCGTCTTCTGAGCTCCGGCCACTGGCGTCTCGGCAGGAAGTCCTCCTGGACTCTGGCTGGAATGGGCAGGTGAGACTCAGGCTCATGACACCGCCATCTCCTGACGCCCCAGTCACTCGTGGGAAAGCGCAGAGTGGCCCACCATCACAAGGATCAGCCCAA